ATTAAAGCTGAAATCTCATGTATTATAATATGTTTAATGTTTAAATTTTATATGCTAAAATTAATTTTATACAACTTAATTTTTCATGTCATAAATTATTATTATTATTATTATTATTATTATTATTATTATTATAAGTGTTGTTATTGTTGTTGTTGTTGTTGTTGTTGTTAATATAATTTATTTTATTTACACTTTTGTTTCAAGTAAAAATTAAAAATTAAAAGAAAATTAAAAAAGAAAGATGGAGGTAATTCCTGGGCATGCCTAAACGTTAGCTTTGTTCCCTATTTGGCTATGAATTTAGACTTTCCCTATTACCTTTCATGTAAATATCAAAAGTCATAGCATAAGGCCATTCTTGCAAGGTTTTTGCATAACATCATGTAAGTGTTCAAAGTCATGGCGTGGGGGGGGGTCATTATTGAAAGGATATTGCATTGAATATTTTTCCTTGTCCTATTTTTGTTTAGTCTAAAAAAGAATAAGTCCAAAAGGTTCATTCTAGTTAGAATTTTATATTAAGTAAAAAATTTAAAATATAAGACTTAAAGTTTGTTCTCAATAAAGTTTATTTTCATGCGAGTTTAATTTTAATTATACCTATGCAATTTTTTATATTATTTAAATTTAATTGCAAGTTTAATTTTATGCATTGTTAATTTCCTTATTGTTTAGATTCCCATGCTCGTTTTAATTTAATATTTCATACTTTAATCTATGTTTGGTACATGTTATTTTTCATGCATTTTTTATTTATGCATAATAATAATAATAATAATAATAATAATAATAATAATGATGATGATGATGATTTTAAATAAAAAAGAAATGTATACAAAATATATAAGAATATAAAAATTCTTTTTTTTAGAAGAATTATAAAAAAGAGCCTGCACCAAAAACTTGCCTAGATATTAGAAATTTTTAGAGAGGTTTGTAAATTCTTAAAATTTAAACCAAAACTTATATAAAACTTTAAACTTGTTTTAAATTTCTAAGAATTTACATGAAAACCTTTTATGAAATAATCAGTTTTTGAATACTGTCTAGATGTTGAGGTACTTAAAAAATTTTATTTAATTAAAAATTTTCATATATTTTCGCAACTCAAAATAAATTCGTTTTGTTAAAATAATAATATAAAAATAATAGGACAGGATTTTAAATATAAAAAATCACACTAAAACTCTATCTAGATTTTAGAAAGTTCTAGTGATCCCTTTATTTTTGGAAACCCGATTCTTAAATTCATATTTTATCATCATCTGTATATAACTCATTTTTAGAATAGCATGTACATTCATGATTCATATATATATTTATTGATGTTTAATATTAATTATATTATTTTTTTGGTTTTTTTGTTTTCTGCATAAAAGTTTTTTTTCTTAAAAATTTTTAGTTTTTAACAAATAAAATTAAAGTAATATTTTGTGAAATATAATTTTTAGTATTCTACCTAGATATTGAAGAGTCATCAATGGTTATCATTTACATAAAACGTTATTTTATTATTTTTGAGGGAATGTTACGATGAATTTTAAATGAAAAGACTATTTTTAAATTTTGCCTTTAGATCGAGAACTTTGAAGATATTTCTTTAATTTGAAGATTTTTATAATATTCCTAAATAAAGATTTTTCCAAAAATGAAAAAAAATTATAATTAAATTTCATATAAAAAATTTTCATCCAAAATTACATATAAAGCATAATTAATTGGTACCAATTTTGTGAGTATTGTGGGAATGCTAATTCTTCTTCACATTTAATCAACTCTCGAATCCAATCTGTTTTTATAAACTAAATTTTTTTTTAAAAAAACTCTAAAACTGTTTTTACTGTTTTATTAAAATATAAAATTTTTAGGTGGCCAATCACACTCCAAAAAAGATAGGCGACGATTCTCCTATATTTTCACGATCTAAAACTTTGTTATCTAGCGGTTTTAAAACCGTTATGTTAGATATAACATCTAATTCTCTGAGCAAAATAGGTGTCCACGTTCTTGAGATGATTTCATATTTTGAAAGTGTAGCACAATAGTTTCATATTAATAATTTTGAACGGATCTTTTTTAAGATACACAACAAAACTATCATTTGACCATTGCCTTCTCATTCGATTATGCAAACAATTTTTCAAAATATTCATTACTAAAATTGCTCTCACTATTATAATATTGATAACTGATAGAGTTTAATGCTAATTTCAGCAACAAATAAAATTGAACCAATGAAGATTCTTTGAGATTTATCTAAAACACATAATTCAAAATATTTTTTTGCCCTCGGTAGGGGGCTCAAGCCCTTAATAGACCCTTAAGAGCTCCACCCATGGACATACACGTACACATGAGATGAAAGAACTTATGATCGACTAGCTTAGAATGAAGAGTAATATACCTTTCATTCTTGAACATAAATTCTTATATAATTTTTTCTTCTTTGCATTGCTATTTTACAAATATAGAAGATTGAATATGTGTAACCATAATCTATTTTACAATAGCGGATTTGGATATCAAATTACTAAAAAGAGTATTCTTCTTTTGACAACAAACTTTAATTTAATTATTGAAGAGAATACTATTTATATTACATTTTCTGTTGAACTACATAATTACATGAATTTTTTCTTACTATAATACTTATTTGAACATAATATTTATAATATAAATTTATAAATTACAAATAGTATTTTTTATACATGCTTAATTCCAAACAAAATTGTTTAAACAAATGATCTAAAAAATATGAAAATTCCATAGCAAAATACGGGATGTGACATTAGAGAGTGTACATATATAAATATTATATATATATATATATGTTTTCCGAAACAAAATTATAAATCTATAAAGATGACATATACCAACTTTCTTGCGACACATACATCATTTCAAAGAATTTTCCAATTGCTTCTTTCAAAGACAAACTAATTGCCTTTGTAATCAGATAGAATCAAGAAATCATTCGTTTCTAAACTATATTATGCTAAAGAATTAACAAATACGACAGTATATTTTAATGAAAGAAGCTCTTATATCCACTATATATGTCTATGTTTCATATGTATGCTTCATGCTATGAAATGCTTGAGAATTTCAGTTGGTGAAAATTTTGAGTACTTATAACACTTTCTATGAATAATTTCATTTTCAAGAATTCCATTTCTTATTATATTTACTTTTCTGATATAAAGTTTGTGTTTTAGAATTAATCCATCTAAATTCCATGTTGTTTTAAAATTCTTGCGCCAAACGAACATTTAAACTTTGTTTGTTTGTATTTGAATATTTAATTGTAGGTCCACGTATTCTCCTATTAAAAGAATCGGTTACTGAAATTTGAAGTTTAATTCAGTTCATTTATATAATTGTTTTTTTAAAAAAATTTTAATAAATTTAAAATTTAAATTTCAATACTTACAATTTTTTTTTTTATTTTAAAACTACAACCTTCTATTAAAAAAAAAGGTCAGAATTTCATTAACTGGGTCATAACTATCAAGTCACTAATGGAATAATAATACAGTCATGGTCCAATCGAAAATGTAAATAAAAAATATAAATAGCTTTTAATATGTTTTACACTCAACTCATTATTCTAACTTGTTGCAAAAAAACATTTTCCAAGCCAAATTTCCAATTATCATGAACAATTTTGGAAGCCCTATGGACCCTAGGTTGTGCTTAGTACTGTATTAACATTTGAAAAAGGGATGAGATAACCAAAGAATATCCTCAAAGCATATATCCACACCAAAGAGAAACTTTCAACAGCAACCATTCAACCATCAATAAAATCATATCACCAATTCTCTCCCATTATTCAGAGTGCTAAAAACAAAAGCAAAGCTCTTTTCTCTTTTTTTGTTCTTTTTTTTTTTTCAAACCCCCGTTCAACTGAAACATCATTATGCCTTTAGCATTTCCTTGCGGCCGCGTCCACTAAACAAAGAAAAGAGCATTTTGTGGGAAAAATAATTGCAATTAATCAAAGTTTCGCATTAAACAATTAAAGGTGTTAGTCACATTCTTAGATGCCTTTTTGTTCAATGGATGACTAGGAAAAAAAAAAGAAGACTATTGATTTAGGATCTTGCGGCTGAGGTTTTAATAGAGGTGGCGAAATGTAATCAAAGTCAAAAAAATAGCCTTAAGAAAAATCGACCCCTCTCGTATTTATACAAAGCCATTCAATTACAACCTTTTTTTGGTCGTACTACGACCTAATCTTGATGAATGGTATATATGATTACTCATAAAAGATTAATACTTACAAAAGTGTTTACTCCACTTATTATTCCGCGTCATTTGAGTAGTTGCATGGTAAAAATTCTCCATAAAATACCATTACCCATTTTGTTATAAGGAAATCACTCTTGGTTAGGATTTTAGGCACTTTGAAATTAGTTTCCGTAAACCCTACAATCAGTATATGTTTCCTTCGTTAATGTAAACAAATATCTGCTAGAGCATTGCTCTTTTTATAGAACTTGAAGCCTTTTAAAGGAAAAAAAAAAAAAAAACTATTCTTACTTTATATTCTAAAGCATAAATACCACCAGTAAGTCATCGATCAAATTATTGATTATTATAGGTGCATATCGACCATAATTAATATAATACAATTAATTATAATTTAATATTATGTAAAGTGTACATTTTTTAGTGGTAGATATTTATATAATTTATTATTGTAATTGACAAAATACATTATTGTAGTAAAGAGAATTGTACATGAAATGCTCTCAATTATTCCAATAATATTCCTCAATTCTCCTTTCATAAGCACAATAAAGAATTGACATGCGCCACATACACTAAACTATGGAACCTTAACTAGTTCTTAGTTTAATTCATTAATTTCTTTTTTATATATAAATTTAACATCAATTTATTAAAATAAAAGTTAAAATAAAATTAATACAAAATTAATTAAGGGAAAAAAAAAGGAAAAAAGAAGTTTCATAGTATTAGGCCAAAATTTTTATTACCTCTCAAACATTAATGCTCATGCATTTACATGTTCATGACAAAAAAAAGAAAATAACTAAATGAAAATAAAATCAAAACTGAGGAAAAAAGAAGAAAGGGCATGAGTCTTTCATCTATAATCCTTAAAATTAGATCAAAATTGTTTTCTTTCGATGATATGCTCTTTGGCCTTTTCAAACTTGACCACAGCGGCAACTTGAAGAAGAGGCTGCAGGCTTTGCCAAGAAGGTAGGCTTGTCATCTCCAGCCATGATCACAACAATTTTTGGTTCCGAATCAATAACTCTGGCCTTAGCCATTTCTTGCTTGAGCTGAACTTCGTTAGATGATGAATTTGAAGGCCGTTTTATATAGGAGCAAGCCAGCAGAACCAATGCCACAGCTATCAAAATTAACACCAAACACAAGCTGCTAAAGAGATAAGGTAATGGATATGTAGTACATGGCTTGATGCTTGATTTTGTATTTGCTAGCCCCATCTCTCTATTTTTTTCCCTTTCTTTTCTCTCTTATTATTATTATTATTATTTTAAGGTGGTGTAATGAAAAAAGAGGCTGGTGGAGCATGATGAATTTATAGTTGGAAAAGGAATTGAAATAGGGATTTGTAATTTAACATTTTAAATCACTAAAATGCCCTTAGCCGAAAGGAAGATTCTTGGAACCTTAATGGGATGCCAATTGCCAATCATTTTTAATAATTTTTAATTTGTTCTATGACATTGCACTTTAGGCATTTTATATATGCAATCTTCACAACCTTTGGTATAGATGATTGACATTTACTTCATGCCAAATTGTTCCCTTTAGTTTCAAAGATATCTCAAGTGCTTTCTTTTTAATTTGTTTTACCTTTATTTTTTTTTTCTACTTGTTGTTCTTCTGGTTCGTTTTTGTGTGGTTGGTGGTAATTTGAGACATCTAAAAGGAAAATTCTTACCTATATGTGCTCATCAAAATTGCAAACCATGGAAATCTAGGGGTGCCATCTAGGGAAGGTCATATATATAAATTCTTGTAAACGTTGTATATATGAACTGTACAATTTTCATTGGCGTGTCATCTTTGATTATGCTTCCAAATTTCAATATATATTTAAAAATGCCAACTCCAGCTAAGTAGCTAACTCACTAGCCACAAGTTTTTATAGAAAGAAAGTTTTAATTTCAAATAACATTTATATGGTAACTGTAATATTTGACTTGACGATTTATTCATTTTATTACAAGTAAAAAGGGTTGAATATGAATTTTGGTTATCTCAAAACTGTATTATAATAAAATAAAAAATTCAAACTATTACTCCCCTAAAATTAAATATTCAAAATTAGTTTTATTAAGTAGAATTGTAGAATGGCTATCAAATACTTGGAATTAGAGCATTTTTGCTAAGGAAGGCAGTGGTTAAGTTGGGATAGGTTTTTGTTCGTCTCAAATTCGATTCGATTTTATATTCATAAAATCTGAAGTCGATTTGTCTCAAGAAATTTTTTTATTTTTTCATATACAAATTCGATCCGATCAAATATTATATAAATTGAATTTAACTTTAAATTAATAAAATATTATTTTTAATATAAATAAAAATTATATATATAAATAAAAAACTAAATAATTAATTAACAATAAATTTTTTATATATTTATCGGGTTGGATTGGAACGAAATTACCTAAAACTCGACCCCGACTTGACTCTAATCTTTTTTAATATTATTCGATTCGATATGATTTGAAATTTGATTTAAAAAAAAATTGACCTTACAAATTGAGATCGGATCGAAACCGTAAGGGGTGAGCTAGGCTGTCAATCCTATTTTTTGTGCATTTTAATTCTAGAAATGATTGAGGATATAGGTATATGTAAATGTTTAAACTCTGTAACTTTTATTTTTAGGAAAATTTTCTTATATATTATCAGGAAAGTTAAAAGAGTAACCAAATGAGATTAAAAAAATTGTTACATGTTTTATTAAAATATATTTAAAAGATTAATAAAATCATAAAATAATTAATAAGATATATGATAATATTTTAATATCTACAAATTTGTAAAATTTAAAAACTCCTAAATATGAAAATTAGATTTTCTATTGGTAAACACTGTAACTTATGTACCAAGAAAAACAGAGCATTTAAGAATCGAAGAAAACTGGTTTACGATTGATCATTCCAAAATCCCAAATACATGAGAAAAAAAAAAAGAGCTTATAATTAATATATATTTAAATAAAAATTTATATATTTTTAAAAGTTTGTTTTTGAGGATACAAATGATTTTTGGAAATTTATTTTGGAGAATTTAAAAAATTTTTAAAAATAATTTTTCAAGAGTTATATTTTGTTTTCAATAATTTAATTTTTAGAATTATATTAATTTTCCAAAAATAAATTTTTTAAATACAATATAATTCTTTAAATTTTAATTTAAAAAATTTATGAGATAATTTTGAGATATATTAATTATTAAAGGTATTTATACTATTTATTAAAGATTAAAACTGATATTTATTATATAGATTTTAAAAAAATTTTAAAAATATATAAAGAAAATTTATGATGTTTTTAGAAGACACTTTTAAGAACATGAGGCCCCAACTATCTAGGATAGGATAGTACAAAATTTGTTGTTGTACGAAGGGTAGTACAGAGATAAGACCTTCCTTAGATTTGTCCCGTGGACTTTAATGTTTCATATGACATTTTTGCCCAAATAACAAAGAATTAAATCTAATTAGAATTTCCCTTAAATTATCACAACTGATGATAATATAATTACAATCCTTCATAAAACATTGAAAGAGAAAAAAAAAAAAAAAAGAAAAGTTTAATGCAATGTTCAGTTCATAAGTTGCAATATTTGATCTTCTAATCTCATTGAAATGCTGATAAAATATCTAAGTAAACTTGTGGGAATTGTATGTAGTATGGGAAATATGGGATAAAAGAAAAAAAAATGGTTTTCGGAAGTCATTATATAGAAATGGCTTGCCACCAAAAATTGAATGACTAATATATTCTGTTACCTTTGTGATGTTAGCCCTTTTTTTCTTCTTTCCAATTTGTAAAAAAGAAAAATTACTTTTTTTTTTGGTTTTTTGAAGAATGATAATTACATTAAGTAAAAAGTGTTTTTTTATGAATATGAAATTTAACTTAATTGCTCATGTAATCTTTTTTTTTTTATTATTTTCAAATTACAGCATTTAAAAAAAAGTGTTTTTATAATTATTTGCAGGTAATTAAGCTGATTGCCATGCAAAAATTACAGGTAACAAGGCCAACCAAGTAGTTTCAATCAGTTTTACTCATTATCAATTTAAAGTTTCCCTCAAGCATTTTATGATTATTATTATTATTATTATTATTATTATTATTATTATTATTATTTTGAAGGCAAGTTCACTACAAAGTAGGGAAAATTGTAAGCAAGCATATCTTTATCAAATCAAACTATCAGCAAAATTTTCCAGGTTTTTGACATGGACTATTCTCAAAGATTATTAATAAAAATATATATTCTAGACTTGCCCACATTAACAAATTGAAGAAGTAACCGAGGTGGCTAGGTGCGTAGGCTTGTCGTTGCCAGCCATGACCACAACAATCTTCGGCTCAGCATCAAGAGCAGAGATGATGTGTTTTGCTGGATTTTCTTCAGTATCTTCAGGAGAATTGGCAGAGCTCTTCCTGTATGAACATACCAGCATGAGCAATGACACACCTATGAGCAAAAAAACTATAGCCAAGCTGCCAAAAAGGAAAGGAATTGGAGATTTCCATAGCTTGGTTGTCGCTGTAGTGCTTGCAGCTTTCATTTCTCTTTGTTTTTTTTTGTTTCTTTTAGGCCTTTGTTTCCTGCAACTGAGTGAGATGAATGGACATGAATTTATAGTGGAGAATTTGAAATGGTTACTGCTTTGATGTGGGGTACTTTGAATAGCTATAGTGCCTTTCTAATCAGGAAGGAAGATTCTTTGTTCTTTCACATATGCTCACCCACTGTCAAATGTTTAATGATGTTAAAAGCACCTTCGGAGATCACGTGGATCAATCTTGAACTTAGGTAACGATTGCTGCTAATTCATGGATTCTTGCTTTGATTTTTGGGCTTAGAGAGCATTTAGAAGGTACAGTGTTTAACCTTTGGGCTCACGTCAAGTAATGGGTCATTGGACAAATCAGGGTTTATGCCAACAACAGCAATTCCTAATTAAATGATGGGTGGGTTTGCTAACTTCCACTAAATTTAGAGGCAGAAATATAACTTTTCAAGAAAAGTTTGTATACATGTTATATACAGTACTAAACTATATAATGATATCATTTTAAAATTATTTTAAATATAATTTTAAAATTAAACATATATGTTTTTTAAAATTTTAAAATTAATTTTTTTATAAAATATCATTATTTAATTCATTTACAATATATAATATTTATATATTGACAATATATAAAATATAAATTCTTTTAAAAATCTGCATATTACCTAAGTTTGGTGAAATTGTTAGCAATATGATTCCTTAACTTCTTCCTCTGGTTCTATTCACAAAGATCTGATTTCTTTGCATAATGTCAAAATAACTAGTTGTTAATATGTCAATGATCACTTTACCAGAAAAAGAAAAAAACAGTCATTGATCTTCGATTGTGTGGATATGATTGCTTCTTGGTTGCCTATGATCAATTAATTTTGAAAAGAAAAGCAAACCATTGCAAGAAAATCTGAAAAAAGGATAAGTACATACATTGCATTTTTCTTTTGAACTTCATTAGATTGATTATACTATTCTTTTAACGTTTAAAAAAGATGAATAAAATGTCTATTTTTTAATTTCATTTTTTTTTTAATTTTTCTTTCGTTCATTATTTTCATAAAATGAAAAAAAAAAAAAAAAAAAACTGAGGACATCAAGATTCATGGCATCAGTAGCATTCATAGGAATCAAATTCCACTAAAGATAATGAAATGAAATAATTTCATGCTTTAAAATCCATTATGCCATATTTAAAACCACATGTTTTGCATATGCCTTCAGCCTCACACCATCAATTTTTCATTGCCAACCAGAAATGAATAGGAGAAAAAAAAAACTGTATAGATGAAAACATTCTCCATTTACTTTTCTTTGTCATATTGAACGTTTTATACCCACAAAAATGTTTCCAAGTGCATAATTTGGACTTTTTTTTTTCTATTGAATTTATATAAATAAATATGCCCACTCATAAAATCCTACTTTCCCAAATCAATCATTAATTATTTCCCTTAGATCGAGTCACGTTTACCAACCCAAATAAACTTAAATTGCACTAGAAGATTTTCTTTTCATCCATCATGTCAAAAGAAGAAACAAGTGCTTGAGAAAATTTTGTCAAATTAAATGACTTTATCAAGACTCTGATCGTTTTGTTTACTCAAGTTGAAGCGAAATAGGATTTCTAGCTGAAAATGAAATTCACCACTCACTCAATTATCT